AGATAAAACTATTTACGAAGTTTCAGGTGAATATTAATAATTAGATAAAAAGGGATCTGTACCTAGGTCTATTATCTATTTTGTAGAATTATACAACTACATAAATAAATTAATTTAAAAAGATTAAGTAAGTTAGAATGCAAAATTCTAAGATTAAATCGAAAAGTATGCAGTTTTAAATTATAAATATGAGTATTTGAAATCTAACAATTTGGTGCACAGACACAGCTTTCTGAACATTTGTTACACTGAAAAGATTCAGTTGCATTTGGGAAATTATTATCAAATTGGGAATTTGCTCTTTTTTCCGGGGTACAGTATATTATGTCTAAGTTAGTAATTATTGTTTTAATTTCAAAACATTGTATATTTTTAATTAATTATATTATGTATAAATGTATCTTCCTTCAAACAACTTTGGTAATGTTTTTCAATGTGCTTCGATTACAATAGCATTTACTTCTAGATGTTTATTATGGTAGTTTATCATTTTAAAAATACCCTTTCGATTTTTTTTAATGATAATGTAACATACATTCTGATTGGATTAACTATTCCTCCCTGAGAATTTGATGCCTTTGTCGTCAGCAGATGCTTAAAGGAATGTTTAGAAGCTTAATTTATGATAATCTAATGGTAAAACGTAAAATTTAAATTAGATGTTGAAGGAATTGCAATGTTTAAACCATGGCAAATTGTGAATCATATTTATAACTGATGGCTTACTAAATATACATATTAAACTTTTGTGTATCAAACATTATTGAAGGGAAGTTGTTGAAGGGAAGATTATTAGGTTTGTGTGGAGTATTCGCACGAGTCACCTAGTCTACTTATAAATTATTTTAATAATTTAAATAAACTAGCGCTCTCGCTCAAACTCCAATGGCTTTAGTACCAGTGACGCAGTGAGAGAGTAGCGCAGGGATCTCTTGGAGATCTCTGCTTTTCCTTCTATAGTTGGAGGGAGAAGCCTGGCTTTGGGTATATATTGTATATAGGTATGTCTGTGTTTTTAATTTACTTATCTATAGTTTATTTATTTATTTTTTTTATTGTACATAGTTCTTTTTGTTATTATTTTACTTTTGTGAATTTTGTATTTTCTGTATATATGTTGTGAATGTGTTCATTTATCACTACAATTATTGTCCACGAGGCAGGATATTATATATCTAAATAAATAAATAAAAATAAACTAATCATAAATTTACCTGTTTCTTTTTCGCATGCTTTCTGCGTGAGGAGATTTTATATATTGCTCAACGATCTGTTTCCATCGTCTACGACAAAGCCATCCACGGAAGAAACTCTGAACTTTTTTTATTTTCCTGAGTTCCAAGGAATCTTCTGGATACTGGACGGTAAGTGGCGGGTTCAATGGAGGAGGTGGTTTTGTTGGACGCCATTCCTTCTTTAAGGCACACAGCTAACAAGAATAAATAAACATATAAGAATCTCTCAATTAACGATAATTATTGAAAAGGACTCTCGATCCTTACCTCAGTTCTTAATTTCTTAATCTCAGTGCCGAGCTCTTCACACTGTTGAATATATTGCAGTTTCGCCGTCCTTTCGCTTTCAACAATCTGCAAAAGATGGAGGTGCTTTTGTTCGAGTTCTTCTTTCTGGAGTAACAGCTTATTGAAACTGAAATAATACAATTGTTAAATGCAGAGGCTTAATTTTTTTTCTTCAAAATTATTTATTTAGAATTATTACAATCTGTCACAATTTAGGACATTTATAGTAGTGTACAGAGAGAACATTCACACTATATTTACAAGAAATTGCTATGTTTTGGGGTATTTAATCTTATTCGGAATGCCAATGGATAATTACTGATGATAATTACCCAGAAACGTTTAATAAAAAATTAGAAATTATAATACATTGATTGGTCCAGAATTAATTAATTGAATCTCTTTTCTGAAAGGCTGGTTTGTGTTTATCATGCTTTCGAATTACACACATTATCTGTGATCATTATTATATGAATAGGTGGCAGAATTAAAATAACTTTTACTAAAAAAACTTAATTTATTTCTGTGTTTAATAAATAACCATAGATAGAATAGATAGTTTTATATAGTACTAGTTGGTTATTTGGGCTCAGGAGATCTTGGAAAATAGTATTTCCGTTAAAAATTCAGATTCGAAATGATACGTTGCAGTACTCTCCCTTAATATATTTAATAATATAAATTTATAATTTAAGGACACCCTCAGCTTTATAGAATGTATACAACGGCACTTAATGCTAGGTATAAAGAATAAAGACTGAAGTTGAAAACAAAGTAGTGAAATATAAACAAAAACGTAGCAATATTGAAGAGATAAAATTGGACATTTTTGCAACGGATTGGTCTCTTGGTTTGTTGTTAATTGAAAATAATGCTGTTTTAAATATATAATATATGTAATAAGCTTTAAATATATAATATAATATAAATATAAAGAAGCTAAGTTTAATGCAAAAGGTTGCATGTGAGAATTGTTTTTTTTTTTTTTTACCAGAGAGCATAAAAATAAAAACAAACCATAAAAACTGATTATTACTTGGTTATTTACTAGTATAATTTCATATTTTATTTATCTGGTAAATTTTGCTCTAATGAAATCATCATTTGTATCATACTCTAAAAATTATTCAATACGTTTATGATAACTAAAATATGTGAAGAATACTTTTGATTTAAATCTATTCGCTGTATATCAACAAAAACTCGGCCATTTTTTAAATATAACTTCTGTAATAGGGGACAGTAATTTGTAGGAATTATATCGAGTGTAACAGAAAATCGAATAGAAACACATAATTTCTTATTTTTAAAGCTAATTAAAAAATATATCTATATTGACTTCTGCAAATTGGTTCCTGAATTTTCTAGGATATTTAAATTTTGAGATAATTTAGTCGTTATTATTTGTTTTTGTTTTTTTTTTGTTATAAATTTTTCTTTTTCCGACTCTCTATCTCGGCGTCACGTCAAAATACAATTTTGATTTATGGCTTATTACAAAGAATATATAATGCTGAACACTTGCCTCACTCACGGTATGCAGATCCGATTTTTAGTTTTTGAGATATTTTAATCCAAATGCTAAAGCACTTCAACTATTCGGGCCGGCATTACCGGAATAATTGTTACATATCAGAGTGCCAAATTGGTTTGTTCGAAGATATTTTCATACCACTGTATATTAAGGAGAGTTCTGCAGTGTATAAGTATAATAGAATATGAATTTTCAACTGAAATATTATCTTTCAAGATCTGCTTAATCAATTATTATTAACAAACCTGACTTGGACTTTTGAAAGGCTGATGGAGACTGAAGTTAAAGGGGCAGATGTACACCATCACGCACAACTTCAAAATCATGCGGGTTAGTATCTAAGAATGTTTTAAGGGGTTCAATGCTAAGCTAAAGTGGGGATGGCCATCGATAGTACATATCAAAATTTTTCTACGGATGCACCTACATCGATATTATCAACAGTCGATATCGTCCCTATGTTATTTAAATTTAAAAATAATAAAAATTGTAATTTTCGGAAAGTTCTAGGAATTGTTTATTAGTGTTACCGTTAAATGTACTCATTTTGCCTGTTTTCATGTGGAGTTTTTTTTTTTTTTTTTTTTTTTTTTGACTTGATTCTTCAACTCACACCTGTCAGAAGTTCCGACAATCAGCGAGTGTGATGTCAAGATGAAGAGATTGGTCTTGGAATAGGCGTGAGGGAGAGGAGTACCCAGCGGCGTCCTTCCTGTCTTGAGCGTAATATTTCTAGTTAGTGGAGGAGATCCCTCATCCAGCTTCTTTTAAGCCTCCTTCGGGTGCTATCGGGCATGTTAGTTGTGGCCATGCCTCGAATCAATGAGTTTGTATGTCCGTGTAAGTTATTATGGAATCGTTTGTAGTATGTTCGTATGTGGTCGTTAACTGTTGGCATCTGTAAGTCTTTATGTAGAGTAATGTTACTGACGTACCAGGGAGCTTTGGTAATAGTCCTGAAAGTTTTAGATTGAAAAGTCTGTAATTTACGTATGTGAGTCTTTTTGGCTGTCCCATATATCTGTAAAGCGTAGGTCCAAATAGGCTTGAGTAGATAAGTATATGTATTCAATTTCTGTCTAAGTTTTAATTTCGAATTTCTTGCAAGGAGTGAGTACAATAGGCGTAGTCTTAGGTTTAAAGTTTTTGTTTTGTTTTTGATATGTTGGCCCCATGTCATTCTTCTGTCAAAGGTCAGTCCAAGATATTGAACTTTGTCTGTCTGAGGAATTTGGATATTGTCAAGGTAAATAGGGGGGCAAGTTTCACGTCGAAGGGTAAAAGTGATATGTTGTGATTTGTCAAGGTTGAGTCGAATTTTCCAGAGTTTGCACCAGTCGTAGAAATTGTTTAGGTGATATTGTAAAGTCTGTGAGGCGTATGCTGAATTTTGATGTCTTGTCAAGATTGTTGTATCGTCTGCGTAAGTCGCGGTCAGAGTATAGAGAGGATCTGGAATATCATATGTGTAAATAATATACAACAGAGGAGCGAGTACTGACCCCTGAGGCACCCCTGCTAGGGCTGGTTTAATGGTAGATAGTTCTGTACCTTGGCAAACAGAGAAAAATCTGTCAGAAAGAAAAGATTGAAGAATAAGATAGTAGGTTGGAGGGAGTATAGTCTTAAGTTTGAAAAGAAGTCCCTGATGCCAGACTCTATCGAACGCTTGAGCAACATCCAGAAATACTCCTGTTGCATATAATTTGTGCTCTAGTGCTGTCGCAATGTAGTCTGTCACTCGGTGTAGCTGATGAATGGTTGAGTGGTGTGAACGAAATCCAAACTGATGTTCAGGTATTATGTTTTCAGTAGTCAGTATGTCAAGAAGTCGTTTGTAGAGAAGTTTCTCAAAGATTTTAGAGCATAATGGGAGCAAGCTGATGGGTCTGTATGATGAAGGAAAGTCAGTGTTTTTGTTAGGTTTGTGAATCATTTTTATGAATGAGTATTTCCATTGTAAGGGGAATTTAGTCGTTCTGAGTATTGCGTTATAAATTGATGTTAGGTATACTAGAGCTTTCCTTGGCATTTTCTGGAGCACTTGAGCATTTATCAGGTCATGACCGGGAGCTTTCTTTTTAGGTAACTGTCTGATTTGTTCTGCAACTTGAGTGGGAGTGAAGCAAAGTGGAGGTAATGACAGTTGTAAAGGAATGTCTAAAGTGTTTTGTACATGTCTTTCGTGATCAGTATTAGAGAAGTCAGTATGTGGTATGAAAACAGAAGAAAGATGGTTGGCAAAGAGCTCAGATTTTTCAAGGTCTGACACAGCCCAGGAACCATCTACGTTTCGGAGTGGTGATGACACCTCACAATGCTTTACAAGTTTCTTAGTCTGTCTCCATAAGCTTCCATCGTCAGTCGAAAGATTTTTGAGGTAATTGTCGTAGTTCGTTCTTTTAAAATTCTGAATCTGTCGTTTAAGTTCATTGTTAAGTCTATTGAAAGTCCGTTTGTCTGATGGAAGTCGACCAGTCTGCCACACTTTGCGCGCTCTTCTCTTTGCTCTGATCAGGTCTCTAATGTACTGCGGATAGATTGGAAGAGACGTATTTCTGCTAGGTCTTGGTACAGATGATGACCATACAGCCTGTTGTAAGCTGATTGTGAACTTATCAACAGCTTTTTCGAGTTCCTCTTCGGTCTTAAGGGACATTGGGATTGATAGCGTCGAATTTAAGTAGTCGCTGTAAGCTATCCAATCGATTATTCTATCTGTAAGTGTTGGTTTTTTTGATGCAGTACGAGGCTCATCGCATAGTACCAAACTGAGAAGAGAATGATCAGAACAAAGATCAGAGCTTGCAGTTACAGTATACGGCACTGTCCTGAGTCCTTTAGTAATGAAAAAGTCAAGTAAATCTGGTGTTTTCTGTCTTGAAGTTGGCCAGTAAGTAGGTGTATCAGGTGAGATCGTGTTTAATGAAAGCTGATCGATGGCAGACTTTAGATTTCTTCCTCTAGGAGTACAGAGTCGTGATCCCCAGGACTGATGTTTGGCATTATAATCACCACCTGCAATAAAACACCGACCGAGATGTTGGAAAAAATTGTAAAACATTGCAGATGTTAGCACGTATCTCGGAGGGCAGTACACTGCAGCGAAGGTAATGGTATGGTGCTGGGTATACAGAGTAATTGCTGTGGATTGTATGTCAGGTGTAATGGGTAATTGTAAAGGGTTGTGTTTTAGTGATTGCTTAATCAGTATTGCCGTACCGCCATGTGCCGTCTTATCAGGGTGGTCAGTTCTATATATTTTGTAGCCTGGAATGTAAAATTTAGAATGTGGAGTCAAGTGTGTTTCAGTGATGAGAGCAATGTCAGTCCGTTTTTCATGTATGTACATGTCAAGTTCAGTCCTGTGTTGGTTTATACCATTTGCGTTCCAGAGAAGAACGGACATGGAGCCCACTGTCAGCCGATTAGTAGCCATAACTGGAGGATAAGGCTTGTGCAACGTGAGACAGTTCTTGGAGAAGGCTGAAAAGAGGCTGGATGAGGTTATTCAATCCACTTACCAAGTTGAAGAGCTGAGCTGAAGCCGGGTGATTGTAAGTCGGTAGTGGCGGTTGAGTAATGCCCTTTTTCATTTCTGGATGCTTTGGCTGGTGAAGGTGATTTTCTGGGACTTCTGTAGGAGAAGTTCGCAGTTTTGGTCCTAGATATTGAGAATCGGGTTTTGAAGAACCTGAATTTGCGGTATGCTGACTTTGCAGAAGAGAAGGAAACTCGTCTATACCTGGGGGTGCGCTAGTTTGTGCTTTTTGGGGACTTTGTATATTTTTACGGAGATTGCGTACTTCCCTCAGTTGTTTTAGAGTTGCACAACCTCTATAATTTGCTGGATGGGATCCGCTACAATTCGCGCATGTTGCTGCGGTCTCTCTTGTCTTTGTGCAGACGGTGCTATCATGTCCTTGGCCACATCTCACGCACTTCGGGGAGTGATTGCAGTAAGCCTTTGTGTGGCCATACTGCTGACAACGGGTGCACTGTGGAATCATTCTTTTCTTTCTTGGCTCTTCGATTTTCACTCTAGTATAGTATAAAAATTTGATATCAAAAATTTTTTCATTAAATGTGGCTTTAGAGATATCGATAAAGAACATGGGAAGTGGATTTTTGTATCTGGAAATAACGTTCACAATACTTGTGGCATCGTAGCCTAGGCATTTTAATTCGTATTTTATTGTTGGAGTAGCATGTGGAGTTAAGTGCATAATAGAGTTGAATAGTGCGCATAAGTAATGAACTTACAACATTAGGACCTGGGCTAAAATTCATTCATTCGGAATATAGATAACTTTGTTGTGAGTGATTTATGAGTGTAAACTCAATTTTCCCCAAATTTGTTGGTTAGAACCCATTCAAACCAAGGCCAAAAATTGTCAAAGAAATGTATGTGGGATGCAAATAACTTATCATTTCGCTGAATCCGATCGATGGGTGAATAGAAGACATAATGGTTTGAATGGATATTTATGAAGATAAGCTGAGAATACCAAACATGGGCAGGAACTGGAAAATTAATTTTACTTAGTAGGAATAAAATAATTTATATTTCCATTAATTAATTTAATGCGAATGAATATTTGTACTTATATTCATTTTCTAAAATCACTGGGTTTTCAACAATGTTTATATTATCGATGATAATATCGACTCTTGATATTCTTATTTTTTCTTGTCCACCTCTTCTTCGAATTTTAGGCTGTATGGGGTTTTTAGGGACAAAGGGATAACGCGATGAATTTTTTTTTTTAATATAATCTATTTATTGAATAATAATAATACAGCCACTGCTAGAGGGCTATAATTATTAGGGCTAAAAGTTCTCATTCATACAATATATACAAATAATAGAGAAACAAATATAAATATTAAAAGTAAATAAATAATACTGATGAAGAAAGTAAATAAAAAAAATAAACAAAAAAAATAAAATAAAAACTTCTAAACACAATCATACCTATTTACAATATATACAGGAATCTCCTAGCCAGGCCTTTTCCCCCCACAGGTGAAAGGCAAGGCAAGACTCCAGGAGATCCCAGTGCCACTTTTCCAGCCGCATCACTAGTATTAGAAGCCAGTGGAGACTGAAAGAGAGCACTAGAGAACGCGATGAATTAATTCAGAAATTAAAAGCCCCTTCCTCCCCGTACTGAGACGCGAACTCATAATTCCTTTCTATCTACTAAACTTCGGTTTATTACGTAGTTGGTTGCCGGGCAACGCTTGTTCTTCAGAAATGTTAGCTCGGTCCTCCCATCCCCAATTGTATCCATATTTCAAGTCCGATATTTTGATGGTACCGGTAGTGGATCATTGGGGAAGACTGTAAGAGGAAGGAATGGGCCATATCATGTTTTTCTAATATTAGGAGAGAGAACCTCAAGAAAATCTAGGTAGTGGAGGTTCATTCGTCCGTGAGAACAGCAGTCTTGCAAATGGAAAAGTTCTCCCGTAGTTTTGTACATACCAAAGCTATATGTAAGAAAGACCTCTTACATGCAGATGATGTTTTATTTGCGGGCATAAGGCAAACGAGTGCCAGACTAGGAAAAGCGGCCCCTAACCAAAGTGCGAGGATAGTATGATGTCAGGGAAGTTCAGTAGAGAGCGCCCCGTGCACTTGTCAAAGATGTTGGAAATACTAGAGAAGACCCATTACACCACTACAGTGGCGGATCTGGCTCTACGCTCTTACAAAGGAAAGGTCTTGGGGGTTTTTGAAAGTCTATGGAATAGAAATAAAATGTTAAGGCACGGTTCCAACATGAGGGGTGCACAACTGTGGACTGGACTGTGCCACATGAAAACCTTATGTTTATTATTCTTAGAAATAAATACATACCCTTTTTTTTTTTTTTCACCCTCCCATGCCACCAGGGCAACACTTGTGTATACAGTAGTGTGATGTTAAGCATTAATGCATAATAACACACTATCAGTTAACAAAATTCTAAGCTGCGCACACACCTCGCTCTTCTACTTTTCCTCATTCTTCAGCAAATTAGGCCTGACTTCCCGTAAATACATACCCTAAAGCATGTATAAAATAGAGAACAATAAGAAATAGAAAAGGTATGATCGGTGGCAGTGGCATGCGCGAAATCCATGCGCAATGCCCCAATGCTGTTGAGAACGCTGTATTTCAAAAATGGCCAGGTAGGGGGGGAAAAAGTTATCGATAGTTATAGGCCGATATTTCTATCGATATAGGACTTTCGATTTCCCATACCTATGGTAAAGACTAATGAACAGCTGCATAAGATTTGTGATCGAGGCCCCATGATACTCCCATGTTCCTCACCACTACGCTGAGTTAAAGTGGCTTTTCCCCTCCTTCCAAAGACAATATTTCCTAGATACGTTTCTCTATCAAATCATCAACAACCATCGTCCTTGTTACGTCTACAACCTTCTCCAGTTTAAATACTCAGTCCATTCCCTGTCCACAAGATCTCGACCTTCTGACTTTTACTTGCCTTCTCATAGATCTGCCTCATTCCAAAACCCCTTTATTGCTCGCTCTGTCAATTTCTGGAATTTCCTCCCTATCAAAATTCGACATTCCCCATCTATATCCACATTCAAAAACCCTCCTATTCTAATTCCTATCCCCAAAACAGTCAGATAGTTGCTAACCATTCGACAATATACATTTATTTCATGCCATTCATTGTCAAATATCAATGCTAAATGATAATGCGTTTATATATTAATCAGGAACTTTATATTGTCAGATTCAGCTTTCTGTTTTCTCAACAGAATCACAAAGCTTATTTTAATGAAGAATTTAATCTATTTTTATTTTTTAATTCTTTATTGTTTTCTTAAAAGCGTATACTGGTCTATCAGTGCAAATAGCTTTAAGTGCCTTGTCATAGTGTTAATTTTTTTGTAAATAGTTTCGTTTGTTTTGTATATAGAATGTTTTCTCTATATTTTCTTTACATTATTTCTTTTTTTCGATTGATTTTATTTTGGCCAAATGTAATCTTTTAATTTTGTTCTATTTTATTATTCTTAAGGGACTGTGTCGCAGAATAAAGTTATTTCCTATATATCTATCTAAAGACGGTTGCTTTATATGGCTTCGAGACCTAGACACTAACCAGCACCCTAGAAAGAAGTATTGAAAAGTTTGAGAGAAAAATACTCCGCACGATAACCTGAGCGATCTGGGATGAAAGTACTAAGGTATGGAGCGGAAGACCAACAAAGATTTGTTTACAGATCTCAATATCTGATGAAATGAAGACAAGGAGGTTATGATGAGTGGGAAATGTAGCTCAAAGGAATCCACCAAGAAGCCTCGACACCGCAATAAATGGCTCAGAACAGGCTAAATGAGGGGCCAAAAACAAGATGGATTGTTTGTTGGAACCAATAAAGATTAAATAGAGTTGCATGCAGATAATTGGAAAGCAGTAGTCCAAGATAGACAGAGATGAAAAAGGCACCTCCAGGCTGCAAAAGGGAAAAAATAACTCTGTTATTTTATTAATGCTTACTAGTTCTTTGTAGTTTTCAAGAAGTGAACATTCAAAGAACAATATTAATATAATTTGAATTATCTGAGAAGTCTTTTTATGCTTGCTTTATCAAATTTCAGCATCTAGACTTCCTTAAACGTCGCTTTATTACTCATATAATAAAGGATATGTACATCTTTTTTTGTCTTTAAGAATTTCCCTAATCTTCAGAATTTTTGTAAATTGGATTTTATATTATGTCCAATCCTATCCTATTTTTTTTTTATTATCTTTGAATATTAAACTGTATTTGTCGAAAATTGTTAACAATCAGCAGATGGTCTGATTAAAGTAAAGAAACAGACATATTAGGCATGGAGGTCTCTCAACCAGCGCCTTTTTAGTCTCCTCCTCTTCTTGATTGGCTTGTCAGCTGCTACCATATCTGTGATTAGTATGTTAGTATGTCCTTCTAAATTATTGTGAAATAAATAGTATATGTCTTGTTTGTCACGTACCAAGGTGCTTTAGTTATAAGTAATATTTTTTATTAGAAAGTTTGTGTAAGTAAGTCTTTTTAGCTATATCAGTATCGGCGAGGAGTAAGTCCATATAGGTTTAAGTAAGTATAGGTATGTATTTAGTTTCTGTCTCAGTTCTAGTTTTGAAGATTTGAAAAATAAATGAGTAGAGTAGTTTGAGTAGTCTATTGAGAGTCTTACATTACATTTTGATATATGCATCCCATGTCATACTTCTGTCAAAACTAAGACCAAGGTGGTGTACGGTGTCCGTCTGAGGAATTTGGTTGTAAGAATTGGAGAGCAGGTATTTCTTCGAAGTGTAAATTAAATATGTTTCGATTTATCGTCGTTTAGTCGTATTTTCCATGATTTTTACCAATCTTGTAATTTATCTAAATGATGTAACGTCAGTGAGGCTTGTTTAGGGTCAAGATATTTTGAGAGTATTGCTATGTAGTGCACAAAACAAAAGAATTAATTTATGTTGCAGTGAGTGCGCATTAAGGCAGTGTAAAGCAGATCCTACACGGTAATTCATGAATGAACGTCACAAGAAGTTCCAAGATTGCCCGCTATCGCTTTGATCATGAAGACCCTTACACGTTCAATCATTACTGATCATTACTTATGTGAAGTTTCCACTTTTTTTTTCTCTTCAATTTATTGCCTACTTGACTATTTAAAGAAAAAATAGTTGAAAATGGTTAATAATAATATAGACTACGGATATAAACAACTATTTACTTTTATGAAATTATTTACTTAATAACGAGGCCAAGGTAAACTAACCTATCTAGTAGTAAGGTTAGTCTCATAGAAAATCGTTTTGACAAAAGTTAGTAAAATATAAGTCTACTACTTACAAAAATTAAGGAAAGGTATTGCGAAAATAATAAATTTGTTTAGGGAAATAGGAAAAGAACTGATAAATATACACAACGTTAAAGTTTTTTTTTTCTTAAAGTAAATTGTGAAGTTTCCTCATTTTTTTTTTTAATTTGTTGCCCATTTGACTATTTAAAAGAAATAGTTGAAGATGGTATAAAATTATAAACAAGGGATATGAAAAATTATTTAACTATTTACATATAATGAAAATCAGAAATTTATAATGGTTGTGAGGCCTAGGTAACCTAACCTATCCAGCAGTATGGTTAGCCCCCCCACTACTTTTACCTCAGTCCCCCCTCCACTTCTCGTGAATGAACCTTTGATTTCCGGATGTTCGGAAATCCGCAGCGCACCACCATCAGTACTTCATTCACTACCTTACACGACAATTCGGAACGTCATTAGTGCAATTCCGATTGACCGTGTAGGGTCCCCTTAAAAATCAATAATAAATGTTTTGATTTTGATTATTTATTAATGAAACATATGTTAGGTTGATAAAGTGGATACGTGAGATTTTCACATGGTTGTCTGTTTAAGCTCGCGTATATGGACGTTAATACGACCATTATTACAGCTATGTCGTCAGCATAAATCTTATCTTAATTTAAATTTTTGCATTGTGATTTCATTTCATGTACCTTATAGTATTAATATAATAATAGTTCTAAATCACCACCATCTAAATAATATATACTGACAACGATTTGTACGTAAATACTTCTCAGTATATATATATATATATATATTAATCGACCTTACTTAAATACTTTTCCTTAATCGACCTTTGAGTATTAAATTTAAAGTGAATTATTTAATTGGGAATAAGGTCACTTAATCATTATTCAATAAACTATTGAATGTTCATTTCTTCTGTTTATTTTCTTTTTATTAGTCAACGATGGGATCCTCTTCAAAGCTAGGATTTTAAAAAATAGAGCTTCGATCAGGCCAGGGACACACCGACAGTCTCAGCACCCTCCACTAGCACATATATCTCTAAAGAGAGTAGCTTAATCTCTAAAGGGAGCTCATGCTATATGTGAATAATAATTAAGTGACCTTATTCCCAATTAAATAGTTAAGTTTAAATTATATATATATATATATATATATATATATATATATATATATATATATATATATATATATATATATATATATATGTATATATATATATTACCTGGCTTCCCTGATTGCTTCGATCCAAGCCTTGCATTCACTCTCCGAGCTGGCCCGCAGTTCGTACTGTCTGAGGGTCTCTTTTCTGTAGGATATGGCAAAGCAGTACTGAAACAATAACCAATCTTTTATTTATATCAAAAATCAATATTCTATAAGTTATTTTAGGAATTATTTGTATACAATGAGGAAGTTTCAAATGAGAATAATTTTCGCAATGCCAAAACTTAATTTTGCCACCTCCTTATTCGTCCCTTCTCTGCCAAACTCACCCATCTATAGCAATTATAGCGCTGAAAGGATTGCAGTTTACAAGAGTTTAAATGTTATTCTTCCAACAAAGAAAATACTGGTTATCTGTACAGATTCACTAGCTGTCTGGCCTACTTCTAATACTTCGAAAATTCTTTATTGAGATATATTACAATCTGCTACATATAAGGACATTAGTAATAGTGATAAAGAGTAACTCATTCACACTATGTATAATAAATAAAAATAAAAATAATAAGTAAATGTATATAAACTAAAAGAAACTAAATTAATAAAAATAACTACTTAAATACACAGATGCTTTTATACAATATTAACAAAATTCATCCACTTAAGTACTCCAAGCCAAGCCTTACTCGTGGAAGGAAAGGCAGAACTCTAGGAGATCCCAACGCCTCTTACTCAGCCGCATTACTGGCATTAAGAACCAGTGGAGGCTGAGCACAGTCGCTATAACCAGACATGGCTTGAGTAGAGAATCTGACCATTGCCAGAACTCCAATATATTGTTACAACAGGTCTCTGGGCCACTGTCGCTTTAACCTTCGAGGAGGATTGTAAGGATGGGCAGAGCCAGAGAGGGATCGTGCAATTCTATTTGGATGATATGTAAGGTTTTGATGACATTTAGAAAAATCTTCAGGGATAAGGTTTAGGAAATGTGGGATATTAGGGTCATGGTGTAGGATTTTGTTGGTTACATAGAAAGCATCGACTATGAATCGAAGGACTTTGGACTGAAAGGATTGAATGCGTTTGATGTAAGAAAATTTTTGTGCCCAACACAGTTGCAGTTCGTAGGTCCAAATAGATTTCAGTATCCTCTTGTAAATCTGTAATTTGTTGGCAATAGAAAGTTTAGATTTTCTGTTCAGAAGTCTAGTATGTGGATTCCATGCCAGAATTCGGTCTAAGTGAAAGCCAAGATACCGGATTGTGTCTATTTAGCCTAAAAAATTATTCTCGACTAATCATATTACACAAAGTATTTTATTTTCATTAATGACAGCCAACAGAAACACTATTTCAGTGATCGTTGCCTGGGTTTATGGTCATTGTGGTATTACCGGAAATGAACTGGCTGATCGGGCAGCCAATGAAGCAATAACTGATGGCATAGCATATCGGTGAGTCCCTGCCGAAGACGTAATCTCCCCCATTAAAAAAATAATAAAGTTAAAATGGGAACAAAGGTGATAAATTGTCTCTGGAAAGAACTTGAAGGGAGTTAAAAATGATGTATGGAAATCTTCATAGGTAAAATATCCGAAATAGAAGAGAGGAGATGGTTCTGACGCGGTTACGTATAGGACACACACTCCAGACCTACCTAATGACTCGCGAAGCTCAAACTGACGGAATGCAGATCAAATGAAAATAAAAAGTCACTTTTTGATATTCCACACAATATTTATTCCGCTTTTATGGACAATATACAGAAGACAGACGGAATTTTTGACTTTTTAAGACGAACAGATATATATTTAAAAAAAATAATATATAACAAAGCGATAATGACAATACAAAAATATATAGAAACAATAAGTTTTTTTTCCTTTTGGTTTATAATTTTCAATAATCAACCATTGTGATTGACCAAAAAATTCAAAAACTTAACCCCCTCTCAAAATTTGACGTTTCACGTTTCAGAATGCGTAGAATTCGAAAAACGAATAAAAATTATTTTGTCCGTCCGCCGTCACGCAGTTTCTCAGACTAGACCGATTTTTTTCTAATTTGGATATAAAATCAGAGGTCACCCGAGGATGATCTTCCTTCATCGATATTACTATTCGCCTTTTACTTTCATAATGGCGGCCGAAAAACCTGCTTTGATATAGACTGTAGCCCCTAAATGAATATATCGATTTTAATGAAAATTCGCTAAAGTCATATTCTCTACTCCCTTTAAATTTATCTATATAACACAATTCAACGAAAAGAAGCTGAAAGAAAAGTTACGAGGGATGGTAAAGTTTAATTCCGAATAATAATAATTGTCTTTAAAAGTTTACGAAATTTCCTAAAAACCAAAAACAAAATTGTTAAAATCGGACAATTAGGAGCAAAGATATCGTCTCTGGTTTTTTAAAATATGTTCTACACCAAATGTTATATCCTTTGTTTGATTTTTAAATTTTGGATGTGTTACTATATAATGCTATTTTTTTTAGCATATTACCAATGATTAAAAAAAAAAGTTTAGTCCAATATTTGGATTTATTTTTCTTTGTAACTATGAAGGTAATGTTACTTTAGATGTATAATTGTCTGGAAATAATAAACCATTGTGGGGATAATTTGCAGCGTTTTTTTTTTTAAATACACCATATAAACCTTATATACTGACCTTCATATAACGAATACATACGAACCCACAACAAACGATTCGATGACAACTTACAGGAACACCGTAATATACTTATAAATGACATGGCCACAAGACACATGCCAGGAAAAGTCCGAATAAGACTGAAAAGGAGCTAGATGAGAGACCTCCTCGCCTAATGTAGATATCACGCCAGGAGGAAATGCCGCTGGCTACTGCTCCTCCTCATGCCTCCCATGCAATTATACTCGTATTTTGCACTATTATCAAATTCACTGATTGTCACAACTATTTTTTGACAGATGTGAATAAAAAATATAATAAAAACACCGTATGCACTTCAGTTATTAAATTCAAACACGTCAGAGAAAAAGATATTCCTAAAAATTGTTGTTCCTGTAATTACCATTACGAAAAAAACCAAAACGTTTGCTCACCCAAAATCAAATTCAGAAACTGCTGTCGTGAGATTAAGAAAATTGCCCAAATTAAAAAAAAAATCTGCTTAAACTATGTCCCCAGAATAGTTTGTAGTTAATGAAAAAACCACATTGTTCGTACATTTCCTAAGATTATATTGGGTTGGCAAATAATTCCTTTCGGTTTTTCTGTTTATTTTCATGTCACTATGATACAATTCTTATCTGATGAATTAATACTTTAAAATGAATGGGATTTTACTTGTTGAATCTTTTGTTTAGATGATTTTAAATGAACTTTGTAGCTTCACGAAAGTAAACGCAGGCCATTTTAGAAGATATAGCTGAGGAACAGGAGAGAGAAGACAACAAGGCAATAAAGGAACCGTTGTGTCACAGCTCCAACTGCACCCTCGGGAGTAGCCAATCCAATGTTAGCTCCATGTTTGTGCAATAACTTTCTCTTTCCATTCATGTTATTTCACAATATATAAAATACCGATTTTTTTTTTGGCTTATTTTTTTTTATTCAAATCTGTCATAATGGTAATGACAACCAGTGAATGTGAGGTTGATTCGAAAATATAATGTCATGAAAGGCATGAGGAGGATCAGTGCCCCGCGGCACCTCACTCGGCGTGATATCTACATTAGGCGAGGAGGTCCCTCATCCAGCTCCTCTTCAGTCTCCTACAGACGTTACCTGGCATATTCGTAGTGGCCATGTCATTTATAAGTGTATTAGGATGTCCTTGTAAGTTTTCATGGAATCGTTTGTAATGAGTTCGTATGTGTTCGTTAACAGTCGGCATATGGAGGTCAGTATGTAAGGTTATGTTGCTAACGTACCAAGGTGCTTTTGTAATTGTTCTGAATGTTTTTGCTTGAAAGATTTGAAGTTTGTTTAAGTGAGTCTTTTTAGCAGTTCCAAATATCTGCGATGCGTAAGTCCAAATAGGTTTTAGTAAGTAATTGTATGTGTTCAATTTCTGTCTAAGTTTAAATTTTTAATTTTTAGAAAGAAGTGAGTTCAGAATTCTTAATCTTTGATTTAGCGTTTTTCGTTTCTTGATAATATGTGATTATATCCTAGACGCTCCGGTTATCGTGAGGATTTTTCTCTCAAATATTTCAATCCTTTTTTTTTAGGGTGCTGATAAGTGTCCAGATCTCCCAGCCATATATTAGAACTTGCTTTTTCATAGCATTGCGCACCCTTAGTTTGAGGGATTGATTTTTCTTCTATGCAGATCCAGTTATTGTTGTGAAATTTTCGGCTTATTATCATGTATTTTTTTTATCTTCATTTACTTGCAGGCCGATCTGCTCTGCCTCTCTTATCAATGTTAGCGAGTTTTCAGTGTTCTCTTGGTTACTTCCAAGGGCAGCTTTATCATCTCGGTGTCCAAGGATTTTATGATTCATTCCGACGTGAACCCTTCCATTTTCCTGTGATGTGTTCTAAATTCTCCAGGATTAAGTTAAACAATATCGGTGATTTATAATTATTCCATACCGATTTATTCATTAAAAACATATTTAAAAAAAGTTTTTATTTACATTTTCTCCAAAATAATAGACTTTTAAACTATATTAAATATTCTGAAACAGTTGTAGCTGTAGAGATATGTCAAAACTTAGACAGAATATATACCGTAAACTGGAGTTACATTGGGACTATGGAGTTACTATGTACTAGAGTTTATTTTGAATATGAAATTACCTGGCTTGCTAAACATTTTTGAGACAACTTTCGTTTAGTCTTGGTATAACAATTTTCCAGTCCGCAGAGTGGTTTCAAATTCAAAACAAACTCGAGTAACACCTTAGACCCAAAGCAATTCCGGTTTACGGTATTTGTATTTCGTATGTGCTTAAGATCCAACGACTGAAGAGAAAACTATAAATTTAATTTGTTTATCTATATTCACAAAGTAATAACATTCACAATACAATTATAATTGTGTATACACTATTTTTAATTGATTGATAGTTGACTGTAGTGAATAACTGAAGAAAGTTATATTTAAAGTTATGTTTAAGAAAGTTATATTTAAAATAAATAACTAAAAAAGGAAAATATATGGAATAAAGAAGATATGGATTAAAATATATCAGAAACTAAAAATCGGACCTGCATACAGTATATGAGGAAAATGTTCAGCATTTCATCCTCTTTTACAGCATACACTTTAGTTTTATTATTTCAGAAGCTTTCAGAATGCCAACAGAAAAAAGAAAACATTCCGGGTAATTATCCTCAATAATTATCCAGCGACAACCAGAAAATAATGTTTCAAAACCCCAGCAATATATCTGGTTTAGCCGGAGATTGGTATTTATCTTATTAACAGTCGATTATTAACCAAAATGGTAGAATCCCATCCTAGTAAGAACACAACGTACATAAATTACCTATTAGATGAAAATTTGTATTTTCTTCTAACACTATTTATTGTTTACACGTATGAAATATACATCACTAATAACTGTAATACAATATTACAAGGAATAATGAGTTTTGTGGGAAATAATCTGTACTTTGAAATGTATATACATATTCAATATAGAAAACAACCGTTTGAAATAGGATATTCTTGCCTGTGAGATCGATTGTTTTTATCGATGCCCATGGGAGGATTTGACGGAAGCGCTAACTAGATAGTCGAGAAGAGGAGGGATAATGCCAGAGGTTGCAGATAACGAAGGCATTGGCATAACTCAGTCTCGAGTTTCCTATTACTTCCCGTCTACATGGCAAACGATTTATGTCACTCCAACTCTAAACCAACGATGAGTCGATACACATCATAGAAGTACTGATTCAGAAGCCCAGGGTGAATAATTTTATTATTTAGAGGCGTGAACACTCGATCATCAACGCCTATCTAATCTTTGTTTTAATTATCTCAACAATAAATGATTACGCAGAAAAAAAAACTTAAATTTTGTACTGCCCTCCAGTTTTCCTTGACAATACACAGATTCCACAGACAGACACCGTTCACTACCTTGGTCTGACATTTGACAGAAAAATGCCGTGGGGCCTACATATAATCAAGAAACGAAAAACGCTAAATCAAAGGTTAAGAATTCTGAGTTCACTTCTTTCGAAAAATTCAAAACTAAAACTTACACAGAAATTGAACACATGCAATTACATACTAAAACCTATTTGGACTTACGCATCACAGATATTTGGAACTGCTAAAAAGACTCACTTAAACAAACTTCAAATCTTTCAAGCAAAAACATTCAGAACAATTACAAAAGCACCTTGGTACATTAGCAACATAACCTTACATACTGACCTCCATATGCCGACTGTTAACGGACACATAGGAACGCATTACAAACGATCCCATGACAACTTACAAGGACTTCCTAATACACTTATAAATGACATGGCCAC